TATATATATATATATTTGTTTTCTTAAGTTTTCGTGGGTATTTATATGTATGGTATTCAGCTCTGTTCAGGTATTTTCCCACGTCATTATAGTTGTGCTTTTAAAGTTGTAGCGACGTTCCGGCAGAATCTCATCTGCCATCATCAGGCTTGTGTATTGGGTTTGTCTGTGAGTCAGGCTTTCACAGCCATTTCTGTATTAAATTTGGTGCCAGCCTCGTGCTGTGTTCAATTTATGTTTAGTTATTGTTATCTGATTTTGCAATTTTGAATCCTTTGGGGTACTCTGTAATTCAATTTCTAATTCCTTAATTTTTTGTTGTATTTTGTTTTGCTGGGCGTATTTTTCCTTATTCCTCTTGGCATTATAAGAGACTGTTATACCTCTTATTACTGTCTTCATTGTATCCCAAATGTTTTGTTTCGTAGTTGCTCCGTTATCATTTTCCTTTAAGATATAATTTAATTCCTCCTTGAGTTTGTTGGCATATTCTTTTTCTCTTATTAACTGAGTATTTAACGTCCATCAAGTTGTGCAGAAATTGACAAATTAACTTTGGCATTAAAAAATAAAGACACTTCAATATACTACAACAGCTGGAACTGTTGGTACAAATGGATAGACCAAAGATAGACTTCACACTAAAAGGCAAAAGAGGATAGGATAGATCCATAGTAGTGATATAGAGATATATGTAAGGATTAGGTGTGTATATATATATGGCATAAAATAAGGATAAAAAAGAGATCTTACAAACTGTTGAAGATGAGAATGTTTTTAATTGTTTTCTATTTTTCTCTTTCTATTTTCTTCTTTCTTCTTTTTCTCTCTTTCATTTAGGTATGTGTTGTTGGTTTGTTTTAATTGTAAAATCAATAAAATTTATTAAAAAATAATAATAATCCAGAATTTTAAAACTCTAGAATGAGAGCAGAGTATATTCAAACTGTACAGTCAGTATAAACCTGACTAGGTTCTAGAGGAATGTTTTCAAACTTGGCAACTTTAAAAGGGGTGGACTTCAACTCACAGAATTTCCCAGCCAGCACTTCTGGTAATCTAGTCTTCCACACATCCCATGGCTGCCAAGTTTGAAAAACACTGGTCAAAACTAAAGCCTGCGTTCTCCCATCCAAGTAATAATTAGCAATTCCAGTTAACTTTACCAGAAAAGCCAACATTGACTACATATTACCACCTGATGCTTCATCCGTTGCTTATTTTGGATACGCTGCAGTTCCTCCTAACTACAGCCAATATGTGGGCTGAAGATTTCTGAGAATAGAAGTTGCCAAAGTCGAGGGACATTGCTCTCTCGCATGCACTGGAAGCCACTTTCTGATTCCCCAAAGACTGAAAGAGGGCTTGTTTTTGAATTGTGGTGTTGGAGAAAAAAAACTCTTGAGTGTCTGCAAGGAGATCCCATTAATCAAATCCTGATTGACTCAAAAATGTTTTTTTTTTAAACAAACAAACAAACAAAACCCTCAAAAGAGTTTTTTCCATCCCTCTGCCATCAGAACCGACGAAGCTTCCTGAATGAGGAGCAAATAAGGAAAAACAGCCCAGTTGCCTTTTGAAGAAAAAAAAGCCACTTTGAAGCAACTATGACAAACTATTCAACTGGTCCAAACCAGTAGAATCCCATCCCTGCTACATACGGTCGACAAAATAAAAATAAAAATGAAGCGTCCAATGTTAACGGTTTTTATGTTTAAAAAGTCTTATTGTTTAATATCCGAGACAAAAAGTCAGAAAACCAAAATATGACTATTCCGCCCCCCCCCCCACATTGCTTATGAAATACGTTTCATTTATGTGAACTGTATTTAAATAATTTAAATACAGATTCATAATTTAAACAATATTAAAAGACTGAATTGATGTTGGAATAACACATAGAAAAAAGAGAAAGTGTTGCAAATATCCTGCACACAATAGCGTGCCCTGTTAAAAGAGGCAATGTCTGGTTTATGTAGCACTTAGTTTAATTCCAGTCTTTAGAAAATAAATTGACAAATAGATTTCCAAACTTTTGAGAACATTCAGGCTGTTAAGGGTCCTGTCGGAAGAAAATGAAGTAAGGTTGTTCAGTTATGTAACAGCAAAAACACTTTCCTTCCACAGTAACCTATCACAGCGCTGTAGCGCATTAAAAGCAAGACACAAACTCCGTTTTACAATGCATCACTGCTTGTGTTTATTGTCTTAATATAATTTTAAGGTTTTGTATGTTAAATTATACACAAGCACCCATCAATCCTGACTTGGAAGGGAAGAAGCTGAAATACTTTAGCCACCAAATGAGAAGAGGGGGCTCCTTGGAGATGATTCGATGATATCCTTGACACAAGGAACATAAATTTGGGCAAATTCTGGGAGATACTAGAGGACAGGGCGGTGGGGGGCTGGAGTCTTAAGGTCCATGGGGTCGCAAAGAGACACAACTTAGCAACTGAACAACAAACAATAAGAAAGGAGGCTCAAGACTCAAACAGTTGTTGACTGTGTTTGGATGGCAGGCTTTCACTGGCCTCTGCAGAAACTTGTGAATCCTCAAAAGTGGGCAAGGATAATAGCAATAACAATAGCACGTAGACTTACACATTGCTTCACGATGCTTTACAGCACCTTCTGAGTGGTTTACAATGTCAGCCTATTACCCCCAGCAATCTGACCTCTGAAGGATGCTAGGCCGATTCAGTCTTGAGACAGTCAGGATCAAACTCTGAAGTCTGTGGGCGAGTTAACCTGCCCATATACTGCATTTAACCACTGCACCATTAGGGATAAGCTGCCGCACCATCAGGAAAATCTGAATGTGTATATATATATATATATATATATATATATGTAAAAGCGAAATACCATTCCACGCATCGTCACAAAATCTCCAGAAACGTAAAGCCTACAGGCACACGTTCCTCTTGGCTTCTAGGTGCTCCCTAAGAAAGGATTTTTCAAAATAACCACCAGAGCATTAGTATTTCCTATATTATTATTCACATGCTCTGATGCTAAGGAGTTCTACTCCCCCTCCACACCTGAAAATAAATCTTCTCCAAATGCAAAACACAAACAGAGGAGTTTCAGTTTCATAGCACCAAGCAGCTTTAGTACAGAACAGCTGAGCTAAGCCACGCCCAGGCTCCCTGCTGTCTCCTTTTTGCTCATACAGCAAATATGCTTCAATTTCCAAACAGCCCTCAACTCTCTCACACACTGACAGGACACTAGCCAGATGAATACCGATAGATGCTGGTAGGTAGAGGCAGAATTTTTTTTGCCTTATTTTCCTCCCCCAAAACTATGCCCGACCACATAGTTTTGTAGCGAAGCACGGGTATCGAGGTAATATCTAATACAATACGTGTCAGCCCCTTGGGTCTTGGACAGCTCCCTGTGGCCAAATCGCCATAGGACAATTAAATGCTGTATCAATATTCAGTCACTTTTATTATTGGCGACCACGTTTTTGTCGAAATCATCGTAACCCTTGTATTTCTGGATTGTCTTTATTATTATTGTTCACTGTTTTGTTGAAATTAATTTAACTTTTGGTACTTGTTGAATTGTCCCTTGGCGAGTTGTCCCTTTCTGCAGCAGACATTTGTCCTTGTAGCAGGACAATGTTGATCAAACTCATGTTTGCCTTCAGGCGAGCGAAGGTTTGGACTTTGCCGATAAGAATGGACGAGGCGTCATCATCACCGGCCTTCCGTACCCTCCTCGCAGGGACGCCAGGATCCTATTAAAGATGCAGTTCTTGGATGAAATGAAGGCGAAAGATAACAAGAAGAAGGTAAGGGGTGTTCTGACCAAGGCTTCCTGAGACTATAATTAAACACACACTTAATCCAAACAACTCTTGTTTGATCTCATCACTGGGAATTATGTTCATTCCCAGCCTGCAGTGAGTCCCAAACAGTCCCTCGAGATAAGCACTCACCTTCCTCTCCTTGAATTGCTGCCAACAACTAAAGGGCCAAATTAACTGTAAAAAACCAACTGAAGTACCAAGTCCACACAGAGCTTCAAGGTTGAATCCGAAGAGAGTGAACGACTTTGCTTCCTGCAAACGTTTCTCTACCTTTGTATGTCCTTTATACCTTATGGGAGGGGCAGTCACCTCCCAGCCTTACTCCCCAGTCACCCCTTTTGTCTTAGCTGCATCTAGCAGTTCTGCGCACTGGGAACAGGCTCCCGTTGTTCCTCTGCCTTGCTGTTGCCAGAGTCCACAGGCTCCAGAATCAGCACCCCACTCCCAGATAGTCCTGACCCCATCTCTGCATCAGATGCAGGACCCTCGTCCAAGTCCCCCCAAACTCTTCCCCGTTCTTCCCCACTGTCCGATTCTGGTGCTGTCTGCACCGGCTGCCGGCGAACCACAACAAGAAGATGGAGAAAGACGTTGCTTTGATCATAGAGATGAGCAAAACGTGTGAAAGTTTGACATTCCCAATCATGTGCCAAATGTGTGAAAGGTTTTCTTCCAAAACATTCCATTTTGACCTTGCAGTGGCCTCTTTGTCAGGAGTATCCTGCCTGGTTTTTAGTTGATCAACCTGGATTCTAGTCTTTTTTAATGGCTTTTTATCCAGAATTCTTGGGCTACAGGCACTGTTGTTGCTGAATGCTTTCTAAACTGAGCTCATAAACATTCAGACCTTCTTTATTTTGTAAAGGATTTGCCTGCCAGGTAGTTGCTATTGCTGTTGTAACATGTGAAACGTGCATTCTTGTTTTCCACTTCAAATATTGTCAAAGCCTACCGGTAAATCCTGGCCGTGCCATCTGTCTGCAGTCAAGAAGGAATGATGCACAGATTGTAAGCTCTTTTATATTGCTAGATTTAATTGGGATTTTGTTTGGGATAGCGGTTTAGTTACTTTCCCAGAAATGGGCCTGCAACTTTCCTCTGTTCTGACCAACTGTAGATTAAGACACTGATATGGATGTTCTCGTAAGAGGGAGCAGAAATTGAAAATTTTAAACTCTGTTTAGACTTTTACTCTAAAAAAAAAAAAAAAGACTGGGAATCAAAAACAGAACGCAACACTCTAAAATAAAGCTTTATTATATAAAGAAGATGCAATAAGGTTAAAAGAAACATGAAATAAGCTGGAACCACGGTGTTCACCAAAAGAGATGTTCTTGAAATATAAAAATAAAAAAAACTTTTTAAAAAATAAAGCTGTACTCTTTCCACCATCTTTTAGTGTTTGTCTGGAAACGCCTGGTACACACAGCAGGCTTCTCGTGCCGTGAACCAAGCTATTGGAAGAGTTATCCGACATAGGCAGGATTATGGTGCCATTTTCCTCTGCGACTCCAGGTGACCTTTCCTTCCAGTAGAATTGTTATTGTACCCTTATTGTACCCTGTGACTATCATTAAGTGTTGTACTTTATGATTCTTGATGAGTGTATCTTTTCTTTTATGTACACTGAGAGTATTTGCACCAAGACAAATTCCTTGTGTGTCCAACCACATTTGGCCAATAAAGAATTCTATTCTATTCTATTCTATTCTATTCTATTCTATTCTATTCTATTCTATTCTATTCTATTCTATTCCATTCCATTCCATTCCATTCCATTCTAGACTTTGATACCCTTAATGTTAACTTCTTTCTTCTCATCTACCGAATATAGAGATCAGATACGTTTGTACATAGGTAGAGTCACAACTCAACAGTTTGTTTAGAGATGTTCAAAGTTACAAGAGCACTGAAAAAAGTGACCTGTGACCGTTTTTCACACTTACGACCATTGCTGCATCCCCGTGGTCACGTGATCAAAATTTAGACGCTAGGCCACTGACTCACATTTATGACGGTTGCAGCGTCATCCCCTTTTCCACGCGATCGCCTTTTGCGAACTTCTGGCAAGCAAAGTCCCTGGGGGAGCCTGATTCCCTTAACACCTTTGGCTACTAATTTAACAACTGCGATGGTTCACTTAACCACGGTGACAAGAAAGGTCACAAAATGGGGCGAAACTCGCTTAACAAGGGTCTCACTTTAACAACAGAAATCTTGGGCTCACTTGAGGTCATAAGTCGAGGACTACCTGTAATCCTTTTTTTGCCAGGGCTGACTACAAGTCTTCAATTCTCAACAGGTTCGCTCTGCCTGAGACAAAAGCCATGTTGCCCTCCTGGATCCGCCCTCACGTCAAAACTTATGAAAACTTTGGACACGCCGTCAGGGACTTTTCTCACTTCTTCCGTACTCTCCAACAGCATGTAAGTATAAAAAAGAGCAACATGTCAAGGGGTGTGTGTATGTGTGTATGTACGAAAGAAAGTCTCCAAATTATCAGAGGTTGTGTTTTGATGAGTACATCAGACGTGTAAAGCATTCACCCAGAGACTTTTTTTTAAAAAAAAAAAAAATCTTGACCCCTTGTTAGTTTAGGAAATTGATCTATTAACTTGATCACAAAAGTGTTTGGATACCTTCCAGGGTATCGGGGAGGAATCGTAGGAGATTTTGGAACGAGATTGACACGAGGGGTCCTTGGTTCTCTCTGAGCTTGGTGGTTTTCTTGCAGACGTTTCATTAACAAACTAGGTAACGCCATCAGTGCTAGTCCACTAGAGGCTAGAGCAGATGATGTTACCTAGTTTGGGCAATGAAATGTCTGCAAGAAAACAAGCTCAGAGAGCATCAAGGACCATGCAGTCGTTCCTATTCCTCGCCCCCCCCACCCCCTCCTCAGGGTTCCAAGTAATACATCCCATTCAAGAAGAACTCGGGCAATTTCCTCAAAGAACATTTTATTGGGACATATCAAATTGGCAGGTTCCTGGTGGAAAACCGGCTCTAAGTTACCATCGGTTTTCCACCCAATTAAAAGTCAAACTTCGTCACTTCCCCCCCCAGATTCTCCAGTCACGTGGTCCTATCAGCATACAGTCCAGTTGCTAGGTGACCTCAGTCTCCACCTTTTGAACACCTGCACCAATGTCCTTGATTCCCACAGGAAGGAATTTTGTTTTGGCTACAATACTCCAGCTAACTCTACACCACCACCACCACCGGCCCCTTCAGGGCTTCTTATGATGGCAAATAGATGTTTCTTTTAAAGAACAGTTTGAATATTCCCTCCTGTTCGTTTTATATGTTTTGTACGCTCACCCATTTCACTGTTGACGCAAGTATGGCCAACTTCATTACTTTCTTATGAGATCACTGCCCAGCCTATTGAAGTGTGTTGATACCTGCCAGCCTGGACAAACAATGCAGGAATACAAAGCTCAGTACAATGGTAAACATTAGGTGGAAAAGAAAACCCCTTTATTTAATTCAAGATGGCCGTGATCACTCCAGGAAGATTAACCTGACTCCAGAGTTGAAATTCTTGAATTTCAACTTGAAATACTATATCCAGTTTTGGTCGTTACATTACAAAAAAGATGTTGAGACTTTGGAAAAATTGCAGGGGAGAGGAAGTAGGACGATTAAAGGCCTGGAGACTAAAACATATCAAGAACAGTTACAGGAATTGGGAATGGCCAGTCCAGAGAAAAGAGGGACCAGGGGTGACAGGATAACAGTCTTCTAATATTTGAGGGGCTGCCCCAAAGAAGAAGGAGTCAAGCTCTTCTCCAAAGCACCTGAAGGCAGGACAAGAAGCAACGGATGGAAACTTATCAAGGAGAGAAGCAACTTAGAACTAAGGAGGAATTTCCTGAACAGTTAATCAGTGGAACAATTTACCCCATCACTGGAGGTTTTTAAGAAAAAAACTGGACAGCCTTTTGTCTGAAGTGGTATAGGGTCTCCTGCTTGAGCAAGGGGTTGGTCTAGAAGACCTCCAAGTTCCCTTCCAACTCTTCTGTAACTATGTAACTAAATGGCTAGATACCAGGTCATTATGTGGAGAAATCCATATTTACTGCAGATATGTAGTATGCATGCATACATACCAATTCTAACGCCAAAGCATCTCAAAGCAGTTTTCTAGGGAATTTTTTAGAATAGATAATAACTGATGTATTAAAATAATATGCGAAAGCAGTCAATTGAAACAAGCATGTTACCGTTTTGTAAGCTTCCCAGAGTCTCCTTATTGATGAGATGCTTGGCATGTAAACGTCATAACTACATAAAATAAATAAAACGTTCATTTTCTAATATGCATAGCAGGAAGGCCTGAGTGAAGTTTTCAATCAGACATTAAGAGAAGTGACAGTAGAAGGCTGTCACATTTGAAAGAGGAGCATCCCTGTATCATATTGATCACTAAATGGCCTTGAACAGCTGTACTAAATAATACAGTATTTGATAACAGAAAGATTTCTGAGGGATGCTTGGTACTGTCCGAGCTGGGCTATTTTCTTGCAGACATTTCGTTACCAAACTAAGCAACATCATCAATGCTAGAAGGGAATAGGGTTTGCGGAGAAGTAAAGAATGACTATGGGGACCTTGATGCTCTCTGAACTTGGTTGTTTTCTTGCAGGCATTACCCAAACTAGGTACTATCTCAATGCCAGAAAGACTTTTGTTTATAAAAAAAAAAAGTCAGAATATGTCAAAATGTTCATTTATTATATTGGTTTGTTTATCACATTTATATGCTACCCATCTCACTCTGCAAAGCAACTCGAGCTTCCCATTAAAAAAATCAGAAATGTTAAGAGCTTTAGGTACAAAAATAAGAAACCGGAGGCAAGAAACTATACAGCGGTGGCATCTTCTGTATTAGAATATGCAGAATGTAGATTTCTGGATTGCCCCCTTTTTAGAGCTGTTTTATAGTTTCTCAAGCCTTCTGACCCATTGCCAGTAATTACAGCAACGCCTCTGAATTCAGAGGACAGAAAATTCTCCCTTAGCTAATATATGTGGTATAACATCATTCTTTTCGCTTTGCTCTCACCTGTTACTACACCTTCCCCCCACCCAAAATTGTGACTACAGGCAGTCCTTGACTTACATCATTGAGCCCAACATTTCTGTTGTTAAGTGAAATGTTTGTCAAGTGAGTTTTACCCCATTTTATGACCTTTTTTGGCCCCAGCTCTTCAGTGAACCAGAGCTGCTGTTAAAGTTAGTCCCACGGTTTTCCAGTTTCTGGTTTCCCCATTGACCTTGCGTGTCAGAAGGCCGCAAAAGGGGGGTCGCATGACTGCTGGACCCCGCGACCATCATAAATATGAACCAATTGCCAAGCGGCTGAATTTTGATCACATGACCATCACAATGCGGCAACTGTCGTAAGAGTGGAAAGCGGTCACAGGTCACTTTTTTTCAGTGCCGTTGTAACTTCGAACGGTGACTAAATGGACATTTGTAAGTCGAGGGCTACCTGTATTGGTTATTTATAAATGGTCTGTCTGTAATCTGAAGTTTCTCATTTCTCTACAGATGCCAGGTCCTCCAACTCCTCCTCGTCATCTTTCTTCTACTGTCATTGACGAAGAAAATGATTCCTCATCTCCATCTCTTGTTCCGTGCAAGCTGTTCCCTACCGGGACAAAAGCCAACGTCTTGGAAGACCACGTTCCTAGTCTGAAAAGGAAGCGGATGGGTCAGTACGCTCTTTTCCTTAACACGTGAGAATAGGAAACGTGTACGGTACCGGTAATTCTCAACTTGCAAGCGTTCGTTTGGCGAGCACTGTTCTTATACAGGTGTCAGGTTCCGACTAGTGCATCCGTCCTAAAACGAACTCTGAGTCATTCCAATTCCTCAAAGAGCAAGTTTATTCAAGTACGCCATCTTGGCCCTAACTAGTAGAAAGCCAGTACTGAAAGTCTCCCGGCTTTTCACATAACTATACTTAGGATTTTCTCAATTTTCCAAAACAATATCTCCGATTGTCCAAGCGGGATTTGAACCAGGTGCCTGGCGACTTTGCTTCTCCTCCCTCTAGCCAGGCAGCCGTTGGAAATGTGGCTGACTCATCATGCAGCTATGTTGTTTTGGCTGAATTTCCATCCCCCTCAGCTCTTCCCCCGCCATTTCAGCTCCCAAGTGTGTGATGATGACCCAGAGCTTGGCACAAAGCAAACACAGTTAGATAATCAGTAGGAGTCCCTTTATTAGCTCCAACTTTGCCCCCAATGTCCTGGCTGGAGAAAAACTCTCCGAGGAACAGCCTTTGACTACAGGGAATCAAGTCCAAAACACGATCAACAAAAACGGTAACTTTTAAATCCAGTCAAGCCAAACTGAGGTAATTAGTTTGGCAGGGCAGGAGCAAGAATCCAGATGGGAAGGCAAGAGTTCTAGTCCTGCCATAGGTACGAAAGCTGGCTGGCTGACTTTGAGCCAGTCATTCTCCCTCAGCACAACCCACCTCAAGACAGAGGTGGTTGTGTGAAAAACAGGGGGTGGGGAAAGAGTATTAGGTAAGTTCACTGCCTTGAGTTACTTACAAAAGTAATCAAGGCAAGATAAAAATCGAATTAAATAAATAAATGTTGCAAGCAGCGACAGTGATACAGATGCTGACTTGCAAGCGTTGACTTTCTGTCCTTATGTAATGTCCACTGTAACGATGATGCTGCATGAGGCACAATTTCAAGGTAACTGTTTGTTGGCTTGATCTGGCTGTTTCATTTTCCTTTTTTATTCACGGAAAATTTAGTCATCCGTATTCTGAGACATCCTGGAACTGATAAAACATTCCTGGTTTTAAGCTCATTAATTTATAGTGTGGCTTTGTGCAAATTGTACACGGTGTACACCAAATCATTCCAGTTGCATACCTCATATTTGTGTTACCAGTAAATGAGTTTAGGGTTGAAATGAGGGGGTCCTTGGTGCTCTCTGAGCTTGGCTGTTTTCTTGCAGGCGTTTCATCACCCAGCTGGGTAGTATCATCAGTTCAAATCTCGTTCCCTTCTAGCACTGATGATGTTATCTAGTTGGGTAATGAAACGTCTACAACGAAGCAACCAAGCTCAGAGAGCACCGGGGACCTCACAGTCATCCTCCTCTTCCCCACCCTCTCCCTGCAAACCCCACTCCCTTCTAGCATTGATGATGTTATCTAGTTGGGTAATGAAACGTCTGCAGGAGAGCATCCAAGCTCAGAGTAGCACCCAGGACCCTTCGCAGTTGTGTCTCTGCTGCTTTCAAGGGATGCTTACTCCTTGTTTGGACCCAGCTCAGCAATGGGCTATAAAAGGTCATTCTTCTGCCATTTGTCTAAGGCAACAGATAATTGTTCTTTTTTTTTTCTTTCCTTATTTGGTTTTTTCTTTGGGGCCCGAAGACGACTTAGTGACTTTGTGGTTCACTGTGGTAACTTTTTGAGACTCACGAGAGTTTTAAAAGTGTAAGAAGCAAACCATCAGCAGAGCAAAATGCAACGAAGGGCTATGACCAGCTATCCACTCCAGCACATTTTGTCTGCTGTTGAGGCGAACAAAAATAGATTTCTTTGGAACTGCTTAGTCATATCATGGAAAAAGTCTTAATTCTAAAGTTCTTCAAATGCATTCTGTCAGGGCATTGCGAAGCCGGTGGTCCAAATGAACTCTGAGGCGCTGACGCGAACGTGCTCTTTTAAATTAAATATATTTAGCATCTACAGATATTTATAGTGCACAAGATAGTCGGGCACATCAGTACATCATGAGGAAAATCAGAGAAGAGCATACAGAGTGCATGCGCGTGCACACACACACGCATACACAGAAGAAAAAGGCGGGAAAAAGCAGAAACTCCCCCTTCTCGCCCAGCAACCAATCATAACGTAGTTTGCCTCATGCGGGGGCCCACCCTCTCCAATCAATCAAACCACAATTTTGTGGCCTGGCCCCATTAATATATTAATATAATGTTCCAGGTACTAAATTAAATATCTTAACACGCAGGTAGTCCTCGACTTACAACCACCGTTGAGCCCCAAATTTATGTTGTTAAGTGAGACCTTTGTTAAGGCAGTTTTGACCCAGTCTTACGACCTTTCTGGCCACGGTTCTTAAGTGAATCACTGCAGATGTTAAGCAAGTAGTATGGTTGTTAAGTGAATCTGGCTTCCCCATGGACACTGCTTGTCAGAAGGTCACAAAAGGGGGAAAACTGTTGTGATCGTCATAAATAGGAGCCAGTTGCCAAGCATCTGAATTCTGATGACATGGCCATGGGGATGCTGCAACGGTCGTAAGTGTGAAAAACAGTCATAAGTCACTTTTTCCAGTGCCGTTATAACTTGGAACGGTCAGTAAACGAATGGCTATTAGTCAAGGACTACCTACATGCAGCAGTGATGACAGGACCCCGGGGTACCGCAACCATCATAAGTACAAGTCAGTTGCCTAACATCTGGATTTTGATCACCTGACCACAGGGACGCTATAATGGTTGCAAATGTGAACAATGGCCATAGGTCACTTTTTTCAGCGATGTAACTTCGAACGGTCACTAAACGAAGTGTTGTAAGTCGAGGACTACCTGTATTGGACAAGTGCTTGCCTTTCTCTTCCTATTCCTTAGCCCAAAGATCTTCAAACTTGGCAGTTTTTAACTCCCAGAATTCCTGAGCTAACATGACTGGAGGAGGAATTCTGGGAGTTGAAGTTGAAGTCCACAAGTCTTAAAGCTGTCAAGTTTGAAAAGCCCTGTATAGGATTTCCTGCCTGAGCAGGGGGTTGGACTAGAAGACCTCCAAGGTCCCTTCCAACTCTGTTATTCTATTCTATTCTCATCATCGCTGATGGGCTGCACTTGTGCTTCAGCCAAATTACTCTCAGATGGCTGCTTAGAGCCATTGACCAAGTCCCCTCCTGAAGTGCCTGGGACTGGTTCATCCTCCTTTGAATTGGCCTCTAGACAGGTATTTGGGGGAGCCATCCCAGCCACAGAACCAAGTTTGTATGTCTTTCCTGGAGGAGGAATTCTGGGAGTTGAAGTCCACAAGTCTTAAAGCTACCAAGTTTGAAGACCCCTGGAATAGATAAAGAGAGAGAGAGAGTAGAGATAGATAGATAGATAGATAGATAGATAGATAGATAGATAGGAAGGAAGGAAGGAAGGAAGGAAGGAAGGAAGGAAGGAAG